CATTACTTTTAAGACATAAATACGCTGTATCGTAAGATGAGTATGCCATGCAATTTCGAAGACAAATCGGTCACCTTAGATACCCTCGAAAATGGCACGTCTCATAAACGCTGAAAAGAATCTCAACGTTGTGAACATTTCTTCCAATTTTAGTATGTTCATGAACGCATTAACTATTGGTGTTGGCATATCGTTACGTATATAAGTACACCATAAATGTATACCACAAGGGAATTAGTGTCTAGTGGTGCATTCTGATCAAACTTTTGGAAGGTTGTTGGCGCAGTCACTAGACAAAAAAACGAATCATAAAACTCGGAAGTGTTTGTTGGAAGGACAAATAATAATGTTCTACTAGGACTTGTATACGGGATAAAGATTTTTCGAACAGATTGGTACCAATACCAGTATATGTTGAAAAGCCGCTGGTGGAATACTTGCACTGTCGATGACAGAAACAAATTTTTTATTCTCCTTATCCCTTGATTTATTCCTGATTTCGCCTTGGAACCCTTGAGTTTCCGTTGTTCTGTAGGGTCCTTAAGACTGCATGTGTGCATTTTTATGTCTTTTACCAAACGTGATCAATTCTCCATTCTTCTCGTTCGTCCTGCCTGATTCAACGACATTGGGATAATCCATCGGTAACAAGCACTGTGCTGTGACAGATGCATCTAGGTAGACAGGGCCCAACTCTTTTGGAATGCACTGCAATCGCTTAAAAATGACCTAAACGCGTCTTTCTACTTCCTCAATGATGGGACAATACGTGCATGACATTTCAAATCGGAAGGGCAGTCAATTTATGGGTGCCCCTGCGGGAACTCGAACCAGTGTTGTGGAAACTGAAGTCAACGATGCTATTCATTAGGCTGTTGTGGACAGATTGTTGCTTAACCCGTGGTCACAGCTTATGCTTCGGTGAATTTTGTGGGTATTCTGTAGCTGATCCACAAACGCAAACGACTCGAGTTTGTCATCTAAATTTATATTACTTGTTTTTCAATGGGTCCTTGGGGTTATTAATATTGGTAGGGTGGCCGTTTGGCTGCATCCAGCTCAAGGTAATGACCATGGAATACTAGGAAGATGCGATAAACAACTTTCCCTGATCTTCCAGGTTGGGTGATGGTACGTTTAACGACTCGTACCTATTGGGCCGGAATTTCACGGTACTTGTTGCTTAACCACTCTGCCTAGCGGCCAGACTTTTGTGATAAACCTAACCGTCCAACTGTGTAGGTATTTTTGTCCACACAACCCAGAGTCACACGATCGGAAATGGTCTCGTGCAAAATTATCCATCGTGTGATGTCTTCAACCAGCTCGCTTTGTTCCTCAAGCCTCCTCCTTCCTCTGGTCTGATAATTGTGCTCTTTCTGTTAGGTCAGGCGACCCGACCAGATAGTCAGTCAGTTTTTGTGCCAGTAAACCGTGTACCAACCTGCAGTGCCTTCAGCTGGTACAGCCTCGTTCACCAAGCCTCCATCTTTTTTTGCATTCATCTTCGACTCACAAATCATTGAGTATCTGTCAGAATCAATCCTCTAGTCTTGCTTCCACCTTTTCCACTCTGAACCAAGTAGGATTGCAGGCAGTTCTTGGTTGCTCACCAAACTCACTTGATACTGTGTATATTGGATATGATAACAAGAACTGTAGATTCAGGTACAAACTTTAAGTCAGTTACTCAATCACTCTGTTCCGTTGCAAAATTATGGTGACTCCGATGCAGAATTTACCGTACCTGCCTTCGTTCCAATTCGCCAAACAAAATGTTCATTGCCTGGTTGATCGTGGCGGTAATAATATTCGGCGTTGTAGAGTTCCTTGAGCAAGATCTGTGACGGAATTTTCACTTGTTTGCCTCTTCTACCTAAGCTTTATCACATCATAATGCTGGCACCATCAAGTGCAGTTTTTATGATGCCTTAAGCACCCTCTTACAGCGGGTTGGTAGCTCATATATTTGCTAGGGCATAAGAGGCTGAGTGGGCAGATTTGATGCTAATAAGACTACACCAAGAGTGAGCTCTATGCGGGCCGACAGATGTGAATGACTGCTTTAACTGCGTGCTGATATGAAGCGGTTTCTGACTTCCGGGACGGCCACAATGGTCTACATGGAGTGTGATTTCCCAAGCCGAAACAGCAACTAACCCAAATTGATTTCACTGTTTTCAGTTTCAGGTTACGTGGACCATCCATTGACTATCTCTTCTTTTGAACGTGCATCATCAAAGCAACGACGTCATTGTTGACGATGATTCCTCGCTGTACATATTCAGTGTTGCTTCTTTTTCTGTCCCTTAAGGCTAGAGATAAGTCAGGTACTCTAGTTAGCACCCTGGATCCTGGGGTGAAACAACTTATAAGAGGACTTCTCTGGACCTGTTACCAACTAACCAGTTGTTATGCAACTTCTCACCAGATTGTTAGCTGCCTCTCTATGCAATGCCTCAATACCGAACACAGCCTGATACAGGCCATGAACATCAAAAAGAGGAATGACCCCACCGATCCCGAGCTCAATTCAGTTTGGTAGAGTTTCAGGCGTTGTGCGAGAATAAGCATGCGTACAGACCGTGATGCACTGAAGCCTTGTAGTAGTTAATACATCTATTTTTAGCTTCAGAAGTTTGGGACTACGCATCTTTACCTAAGCGGCGTTGAACTTTCACTGTAAACACTCTAATTCTCTGTTTAAAAATGGCTTAAAGCACTTAGCATCCGTTTGGCTGACGTATTTTCCTCTCTTCTGGAGAAGTAGCCATTTTCGGATAATAGGGTCGTATACATAATAGAAAGAAGCGAACGTGGGTAACTACAAGAATATTGGCTTGACCAAGATTGTGATCAGCTTATTAATCTCATTTGTCCTTAGTCGTTTTGTGGTATGCCGTTAAGTCTTGAGCAGGGAGAAGTAAACAATGTTTCAGCCTGTCAGAGTTTACACTGACCATCTTTTCACATTCATTTGTATGTTCTGAAAGTGATATACCACCGGTGGGAGATACATACTCATGATGATTCTTATTTTTAGGGAGCAACACTTTATTGTTGAGCACACCTCGGCGGGCGATGACTCAGAATTTTGCGAATGTTGTACCATATTTATACTCTCAGGCTTGTATGTGTGCGGAAGTTCCTCACGAAAATGTTTACAGCGGTGGTATGTGATGAAGATCCTTTCTCATTCCCCTCCAGTTTTACTGCCATTTGGATTAATAAACGAATCGTGGAAGCTCTTTGGAGCCCTCGTTCTTAAATAGCTCCAGAAGCAATAATATGCGACCCGAAATTTGCGGACGCATTGTCCCTAATTTAGCCCGAGCCAACAAAAGGCTCAATACCGAACATTTAGTGGCACGAAAGACAACCTATCCCAGTCCAGTGTAGCGGGCCCTAGGACTATTCTAGGTGGTATAATTCTACGCGTCTTCCACGCTTACACCTTTTGCGTCTTCTGCTCGGCCATCTCCTCAACAAAGTCCAACACTTCTCAGACTACCAAACCCTTTACCGGCTGTACCACCAACTGTGTTCTGAAATGAGATGAACCTACCTGATGTCCACCATGTCATGTAAACATACTGGAAGTGATATTCGCACTCGAAAGTACTCGAAAGTTCTAAAGTAAGGTCATCCGCCTTAACTCAATGGATAATACCCGAGATATTGATCAGATTTTTTACTTGAACTGTCTCCCGTCTATGTGATTGTTTCATCCAGTCCTGAGAAAAGTGACAGTGCCCAAGCTTACCTTCAATCTTTGGGGGTTCCACATAATCCACGCACCAGAAGAGTGCAACAACTGAAGGATGGCTTCAGTCAAGAATCAAAACGTACAAGCAAGCGTGAAAAACTTAATGCTGAGCATGTTTTTGCCCGATAATGAACGGCCGACTTCGTGGGAGCGTAGACAAAAGGAACACGAGTTTTGAAGAAAAGCTATTATTGTTTTGCAATCATTATTTACCTTAACACTGTTTCCAGATTAATTAAACATGACGTGTAATCCATTTTCCAAAAGATTCAAAAGGTTTTCCCTATACTGTGGGAAGCAACGAGTGCACCTCAATAAGTACTCTGTAACCATCCTACGAGACCGCACGTTTCCATCACCTGTTACTCCAGTCCCTGTATACGAGATGGAGTGAATTTGTGATGGGTGCTCACAAGAAGACTGTTCGAGACAAGTGGTGTGAAGAGAGAGGAAGGGAAGGCGCAAAACTTAACGATACTTTCGAGTGGGTATTTTGAAAATCTGGTAACTGGCGCTTCTCCGTTCCGGTTTCGGGGCAGTCCTCAAAGCAGTTTCGGGATAGTAAGAAATTTTCTTTTGCGCCTCGGTGTGACAGTGTGAACAGAAAGTCTTCAACCATTTTGGAGTCAGAATGGTTTGTTCATTTGAACGCCTTTCAATGGACGTGATATGAGACTGCTTATGACGAACTGACACAAGTTAAGTGCTGTGTCGGATCCAAATACCTAACTGTCCTGCGTCCTCTTGATAGTAAGCGATATGGTAGAGTGTTTCTGCCCCTGAGTTTGCTGATTCATAACTTCTGGAAGCTGCTGTTGCTTCGGGCTCAATTCAGAGCAAATTGGACCTGAGACGAGTCCTTTTTGATGACAAGGTTACATAAGTGGGATAAACACGCAAAGCGCAATGCAGACGGCAAATGAGAGTTTATCACCTTCTTACCTGACTCCGCTAATCTTGAACTAGATCTTTTGTCACCGGTCACCAATCATAGATGTACAAATTTATTAGAGACAGAATGGTGTTGTAACGTCCATGAAATTCACATTTGGACGGTGTTCCCAGTCTGAGAAATAAGTGAACTGACAATATCGAATGGTTAGCAATACTCTGGAGCATAGATTCTTGCGTTGAGCTTTAAAAGTTGCTGCTGGTTTTCACTAGTGGTCCGGTAGGTCGGATACTTTAAAAAGTCCGTGCGGCAATTCATAGGTCTTAGCTCGCTGGAACTTACCCGTACTGCATTTGTTGCGACTGATAGAGCACATCGTTCTCTCGTTTTTCAAACCCTCGGGGTCGGCAGATTTCTGAAAATTAAATTACCTGCTATATAAACGGAAACGGAGAACTGGCTAATAGTACTGTCGGAGGGAATCTTCATGACCGTTTCAGAAACATTGTTCCGTCATCTGTACCATGCCGTTATGATCCACGCCAATGCGCGTGTAATCTGATGATTGTCTTTCACTCTATCAGTGAGACTTTACACTATGTTTTTTATACGTATTTCTACTTCTGATTAATTTGAGCTGTTCCAGTAAAAGCCGTGTATCATTCAAAACAACTTTCCCGGCGTTCCGTATTTTCAGTGCCCTATTTACAGTGCCCTTTTAAAAGTGAAACCCCCCAATTGGATTTTCTCTGAGGGCGACGCTTTGTTTCATCAGTCCTTCCCCGAGAAATAGTCCGAAAGTTCTAATGCTAGATTTTTTAGCTCGCGACTACCAAAGTACAGATCACTTAACAAGAGCGACGGACTCAATAAGAGTAGTTTTAAACCGTTCACCTTCCCATCCTAGGTTGGTGCGTGGAACTCCTTATAAGCTGACTAAAAGAGCGCACCATTTTGCGGTAAAATGAAGACTTATCGCCGTTTCAGCAGTGGACAGTCTATGCACTTAGTCGAGAACCGGCAAAACTTCGACTGCCAAAAGTTGAAGAAAATTCCAACAACCAATACAAGTGTGCTTTTTTAGCCGGGGATTGATGAAATCAAACACGAGGGGAAACTGCAACGACTAAAATCTTGGACTTCGTCAACTACCACGAAAATAAATGCATCAACCCTGACGTTAGAATACCGAAGATCTGTCCCTGGAACTCTGTAGATGCGCCAAGGATTTTGGCTACACTGCGTTCTACACTAAGTAACGAAACTCATGTAATGCAATCCTTATGTGTACAAACGTCATGTTTTCTATATGCGGCTCTCTTTTCTGCTAGAAGACGCTCGGTTGCCGCTGAAAGTACTCTCCCAAACGCTCACACGTCACCACCTAAGGATATACGGCCAGACGGAGCCACGCGAGACAAACCATACGCTGAAAAGACATCGTCTGGACGACAGGAGAACCTGAGTTTTAATGACCGTAGATGGTCATTAGCCTATTGAACGAATGGATCTGCACTGAATGCAGATAGCACGTTCTATTTATCGGCCGGAGTGTTGCTTGTAACTGCTTACAAGTCATGGAGAGGTGTTTCACCCGCTCTTGCTGCGTTCTTCATTTACTGGACACCAGTATACCAGTCTGAATGGACATCCACATCGAAATGCAGCTCACATTAATATTTTTGTTTATTTCAGGCACGATGACACGCCTCGGATTTAACTTCTCACTGCATGTTCTATGCAGAACTTTCCTGACTTTGTTATTTCTGGTCTTGGTAAGGCCTGCTATGAATCTGTTTTCTGATCAGGGTGAAAGCTGAAACAACATTTATATGCCAAGGAGTTGTTTTACCTTCGACTCATCAGCGTTGAGGTGATTTCAGAAGAAAACATCTGTGATCCTTCATTAATACCATCAAGATGTGATTTGTATCTGAAGATCTGCATTGCAAGCAGCACAGCACGGTATCGTTGACGTTTTTCTGACTAATTAGCTGGTTGGCTTCAGACATGAATGTGATATTTTGTATGCGACAACTCCAAGAACCGCGTTCGTTAATCAGAATTACATAGGGTTTGGGAGCAAAGTGGGAAGTCTTTCAAACCCAATCGTCACCATACTTCCTGAATTTCCGGTTAGTTCTTGTAAACTTACCGTTTACTATAGATCGTATTTTCAGAATGCGCTTAATTTGACGGTGGATGTTTTTGATGCGGATCCCGCCTGGATAGCTCCGGATCAGCATATTGCAACCTTGAAGCATGAGGTCTTTTCTCCCACAACACGTATTTCGGAAGTTGTTTTGGATAAATTAAACGTATCCGTTGCCAATCTGCTCGATCCACGACCAATCACCATGACAAGGAATATTCGTGGGGGACACATCCGACTACGTTTGGCCATGTGGATACAGTGTCCCGACAATTCCTATGGGCCACGATGCCAAAACCGGTGCCTTCCTGAACATTCAAGGAATGGAAGGCATTATGGTTGTGTACTTTCAGATGGTTCTCGCGTATGCATGCCAGGTATTAACTCATTAGTTTTACTTCGTCTAGACTTAGTTCCATCATGACAGGCATGGTTCGAACATGTTAATAGGATTTTTCTTCACGTCTTTTTAAGACTTGGAACAGAATTTCCAACTACTTCCTTTGAATCTTGTAATAAAGCTGTTCATTTTGGCATGTTTTTATCCCCTCAGAGACGTTTTCTTACTGCTGGAAAAGAGATGCATATACGCTAGATGCTGGCGACTTCGTCACCCAACTGTATGGTAACGAATGAATCCAACTTCATTCTTCAAAACTCTTTTTTCAAGAAGGGTCAATTATGCATCTGAAAAGCGGGTCCTGTTTAATGTTTCATCGTACAGAAGCCAGAAATATAGCTACGTAAAAAACCTAAATTTCCGGAAAAATGTTGAAGTAAAGGCATATCGTAACTTACACACCACAGTCATTCTTCTCTAGAGATACCACTTGAAGGTAATGGTGGAAAGTGTTTTGTTGAGGGGGAAGAGTTCTCCTGAGAGGCGATCCATTAATGACTACTGCAAATAAATTGCAGTAAGGGCAAATTCTTACGCTAGTGTACCAGCGTACCGCGATTTATACTTTACTTGCTCGGAGAATCCCAAAAATGAAACTAGTCACAGAGCATATACCTGTTGAATCCTCTGAAACAAACTGCACCCAAATTACCCATCGGTAGTGCCGGAAAGCGTCGAAGAGGCATTTTTGAACTCCGTTCAATTATCACATGGTCCAAATGTTCGAGAAATTTTTTTACCCCAGCACCGCCGAGAACCACAGCATTCTGTATATACATGAATGGGGTTTGGAGGAATAGGGTACTGTGCGAGACCAATGGCCACTTTACACATGTAAGAACTGAAAAGCACGGTCATACTGTACCCATTTGATATTCCGTCCTGTTGGTGACGGCGATCACTCGAGAAGCACTGTAGTGTTTTTTCATCTTTGCTGGGAATCTCCTCTCACGAGAGAGTTCCTAGCGCGGATCGTTCCGACCAGTAAGTGCTAGTCACACTGCTGTTCAGCAGCTGGAGGACAAGCGGTTAGGTGTTCAGCCATTGACCGAATGGTCGTGGTTCGAAACTCTTAGAGTTTCGTGGGATGCACACTACTGGTGATTCCGAATAAGGATCAAATAGCGGTATGGTGCTTTAGGCCCTTCAGCACAGATTGGCCTCACAAAGAAGGTGAAGTCTCAGTTGGAAATTACAAAATGCCACACCACGATCACTCACACAGTGGCTTGTTTTGGGTTGCCGAAAGATGTCCAGTGAGTTTGCAGTGATTCTTTTCCTGAAGGAATTTGGTCAAAATCAAAAGTGATTAATGGCACGAGATAACGGGTACTTCCGGGTTTTAAAGCATTTGATACGAGCTTAAATATACTGACCAAACTGCTCCTGTTCGAAAGATGAATACTCCAGAGAGGATAAATGTGAATGCAAGGTGTTTAGTCTCACTTTTGATCTGCTCTGCTCTACACGGACCGGGCTTCATTGAATTATAACTAGTAAAGTGTCAAGTCATGGGAATGAGTTCTGCCGGATCAGGCTGGAGGGTGGCATATGGGGGGGGGGGTTGGATTTAATGTAGGTGTAAGGTCATGTAGCCCGTGGAGCTTGGTTATACTAACAAGGGTTCTCATGCTGGTACCAACCCATTCATCCTCAGACATTTAACAACACAACAAACACTACCAGATCGGTCAACCAATAGCTCAATTTGAAGATGAACATTACACCTAACGAAGTAGTCCATTATTCTGCATCATAAGATACAAGGAATTATAGTTTAGTCGAACTAAAGAACAGCCACACGATCAGCAATCCTAGGGCCTTAGAAAGCCATCGGGTCACAGGGCTGAATGTGCTACCACCAGGGTTTTTCAAAGATGGTGTGAGCTTTTTGTTTCACGTTATCCACTTTGTTTAATTAAACTCGTTTGGGAAATCGTTCACGCAAACCCGGTGCCAGTCAATCATCGTGCTTTTATTCGAAATTTTCCCAAGCGATTACTTCAGTTAAAGAAATATGATCTCTACCTTTTTTGTAACGTAGTTGTTAGCTCCAGCAATACTGCAACGTCAGATGTCATCACGGAGACGCAATTCTAAAAAAATACCAGAAACAGTCTCGACCAATACATTGAGCAAATCATCACGTGACGCCAAGTAGCTCAGCAGCATCACTCATTATGCCGACTAATTGTGGTGGTTTACCTTGACTTTAAGGGGATTTCGACCAAGCGACGAGCTTGCCGTCTTTTCTTAGCTGGACTGCCTAAATGACGCTTTTCTGTCCTTATGGGCTTAGCTTGCACTGGTTACAGTCGTCAGAAAACACATCAGTTCCGTTAATCACATGATGCTCAGGCCGATTTGATTAGGTAGTTTTGAAAGCTGCAGGCATTTGGTTCGTTGCCGTTTTCTTAAGGGATATGCGGCTACTTGTAATGGGTCTCGCTTCTCTTTTTCCCTCTCGTTCTTTTCTAGAGCTCTCTTTCTTTATGACAAGCTAACAGTTGAGCACCGGTTTTCATTACTAGTGTATAGCGTTTCACGACGCCTGTACATCTGCAATTCTAAATTGTAAAACGTCAACGTTACTCCCTTTATATAACATGCTGTAAATCATGTAGGCGTATTTTCCGTTGCATACACTGACATATTTTTCTTTGTCCTCAGGTAAATGGTAAGAAATAATTTGGTTTACTAAACTGTACCGTAAAAATCGGATTACAGTTGATAGGAGTCCAGTATGACATACATTTAAGCGTCATCCTTAGTGTGCGCCGAGGAGGTCCCTCCAAATGCTAAAGCGACGTTTGCAAGCCAATTGTCAAGCCCGGCGAACTGATCAGCTGCCGCCTGATGAACAGACCGGACAAACGCATCAGAGCTACCAACAGTTGGACGTATTGCCAGCTTTTCCGATCATTAGTGGGCTAAGCTATTATGAGTTCAGAACCGACCTCGAATAACCGAGTTATTCGTGGTCCTGACGAGACGGTGATTGATGCCCTTGGTTTTGGATCAAAGTGGATCCTTACGTACAGAGCGCTAGTGAGTTCGTTTCCCTAAAGAAAAGAAATCACGAAAGATGGGCACCTAGGCTTCTTCTGAGGGGGTCTCAAAGGAGGATTCTACCCAAAATGGAGGCTGACAACTTTAAAAGAGGGCTGTGGTGCTAGATTAAGCGTTTTTCTTGACTCCTTTCTGTGGTTAGCCCTGTCGCTTTTTATGAACCTTGACTTACCGTATTTTGTAAATTTACCAAGCTGTCCAGTTGTTTGTTGGTAGCCTTAAGAGATTTTTCCCATGGAGATATTGTCCTGAAAATGAAGCCACTATATGGAAAAGCTGAAGGGCACTGTGCAGCCGTTTTATCCCTACTGGGAGTCATCAGCAGTGCTCACCTCAAGGAAATTCAGGGATTCCCGAACCCACAACCCCACGATTACCAGTAGTTTACTCGTCGGTTGAACCTCTGTCTTGACTCGAAGAGCCCGTCAGCACTTGCAACCATATGAAGTGGATCCCTTGAATAAAGGATGAGTGCTACTGTCCTGTCTAAGAGCGAGCTAATCACACTGCTGATCAGTCGCGTTCAAAACGCTCTGGGTTTTTGTGAGATTCACGCTGCTGATGGTTTTCCCTAAAGTCGTAACAGTCGTTCGACCCTTCATGGCTTTTCCGCATATATTGGCGTGGTTTAGAGAATGTAACCTCCACTGAAACTTTCAAATTATTGTTCACCTGTACCAGAGAGTGGACGTACTATCCTCGCTTCCACAAGAAGCGATTTTTCGGGTTTGTTCTACAAAACAGCTACCTTACCAGTTTTTTCGCTCAGCCAACGATTGCTTCAGTTAATGATATGAATTTCAATCAGCTTGGGCTAGTTGTTTTAACTGTTACTCCACTATCATTTAGCTTGCAACCTGTTTCATCAAAATATTCTATTCACTTCTACGTCTGACGGGTCTGATTACTCGGTTTACGTTGAATCAATAACTATTTGAGCTACTTTTTCCATTTTTATACCCATTTGATTCGTCTCCAGGATGGTACGGCCCTCAGTGCGATGAGGTGGACATATGTGATACGAGAAGACCTTGTGGACCGACAGGCATTTGTAAGAAAGTGGATGACGGCTTTCAGTGTATATGCACAAAAGAGTTCACTGGTGAGCTAGTTTTCCCCTCATAATTTTATTGCTCTTTAATTTCTTGTAGTTATGATACTAACTCTCTAGGGACCTTCAACTTATACGCTGAAAAGCTATTTAATACCGGCAGGAGTGACAAACTGAACAGCAGTGGTACTGTAGAAGAAAAATGATATACATCAATTTGCCATTGACACTTTAAAAATTACATTCGCTACATAGTTTGAGGTGAAGTCGAATTGGGCTACATACGCCACATGTCATCTACTGTGTACCGTTCCAGTATTCAGAAGGCTCCCGATTTGTGATGACAGCAGAGACCGTTGCAGTCACCCAATACAACCCGGTTCTTCAGAGACGAAGTAGTTCGATTTTGAGTTCGAGCTACCTTTGACAAACTGAAAGTTGTTCACACCCCAGATCGACGGCGAAACAACTACCAGATGGCCCGAGTCAGTTGAATAGTTCCCTGCCGAGCACAGTCGTGTGGTTCCGATAAACATGTTGACAACTTTCTCATTGTCTTTTTTGCAACACAGCGGGCCACAAGTTTTTAAAATGAAGTCCCCTCAGCAGAGAACTGACAGAACCGCTCGAAAACGTCACTAAGTTAATAGGGCGCTCTGAAAGAGTGCTCGAAAATTTCTTAAATGCAAAGGGATGTTACCGATAGCGTTACGTTCCTTTTCAATTGTTGTCAGTGTAGCTACTGACGTAAATCTGACTGTAGCAAACGTACGCAATTTTTATGGCGAGATAAATATTGCAATGGAACAGATTTTACAGGTTTCTTGTTGTAGATCTTTTGTATCTTTATTTATTTGAATAATAAGATAACTGCAGTGCGCCACCAGTTAGTTGCAAACCACAGACATCCAATCTTAGTGATGGTTGGATTTCAATCGTTACTCTTAATTAAAAAAAACGCAAACATTACCAAACTTTGACGTCTTTTACCCCAACTTATTGGCTACCGTCCAAGTCTATCACCGGGGGGAACTGATGTTTTGGACCGTCTGCTTAACATGCAAGCCTCTACAATCTAGTTGAAGCCATTGGCCATCAACTTGAATGTGTGCTCAATAGGTTGGTATGCATAAGATTCACTAAATGGGCTAACTTGTGTTATTTACCGGCGCGGAATTAATTTAACTAATAAAGTGACTTCTTATCCTTTCAAATGCCAAACTCAAGAGAAAGTGTCTTCAGCTGCCGAATGTTTTAGATATACAGTTGTTAACTGATGACCAAACAGTCATATAATCGATTCCCCACCCCCATATGATGAATCCAAAAACCTCTGTAAAATTGTTTAGCTGAGCTTTCTGATAACTAGCAGTACTTTTCCGAATACGCATTTGGTCATATGTTTAGTTCCATTTGATTTCAACCGAGTGATGATGACGAAGCACTCAAAGGTGCATGACTGGTTGCTTGCAGTGGTACCATCTGGGCCACTCCTAAAGTTCGATAAAGACCACCTTCTAGTTCATGGTTATCTCCACTGAAATTTCAGCCTTATGTTTCCGCCTTTTTCAGTATCGGAAGAGCAATGAAAAAGTTGAAAGTGTGATATTCCTTTTTTAGCACTAAGTGATAAGCTATCGGGACAAAACCCGCTATCCGATCGTGGCCAGATTNTGAAAGTGTGTATTCCTTTTTTAGCACTAAGTGATAAGCTATCGGGACAAAACTCGCTATCCGATCGTGGCCAGATTCGATAGAGTACCCTCAGTCAACGGGACTAGGGACTTAATGTGTTGTGCTTTGGTTTGTGGTATCATGTGCAAAGCAACCAACCGTTACAAAATTGTTTAAGCTTCATCCTTCGGTAACTCACGCCTTTGTGGGACTATTCCTTTCGGGGACGAGATAGCTCAAGTGGTTAGAGCGTGAGTTTACTAACCGGGAGGTCCGTGGTTCGAACGCGACTTCTGCCTCTCGAATTCCCCTGTCTAGGCTTGGGCAACCTGGCAGTATCCCAGCCTTCATGCTTCCTTTGGGTGACATGGCAGCTAGGCACCGAAAGGGGGTTGCAACTGAAAGAGTTAGTAGAGTAGTAGTACTATTCAAGAGACTTGTAGCTGAATATTCTGCCAACACCAATGGCAGGTTGCTCATCCAAAATAAACGTGGTCATCACGTAGGAAAACATACGAGCTTCAATTACCTTGGTTTGATAGGTCTGAAAAGGTGATAGAAAAAGGTGGTCATCCTCTAATCCGGTACAAACCGAAAAGAGTGAGGACTGATCGGTCTTCCATTTAAACGTGATTGGATAATTTGCTCAGTGTACAACTCGAAACAGATGCGCCTAAGCCGAGGCAGTTTGGGAAACTTGGTTTTAGGCGTTTTTCGCTGTTCTGCTTCGTCTCAAATGATTTCAATAAGAATTGTAACCATCTAGGAAGTTTACTTTTTGGAGCATCTAACCACCTTAGAGTGGTTGACATAGGAATAAGAAGTTATCTGTTGTCAAGTTGGACAGCGCAATTAACACTGATCCAATGCTCTTTGGGAATTCTTGTAAATGAATATTGTACAATTATGCCCGTTAGTTTGAGCTAAGAACTACCTAGCTTGTTGACTCCGACTATTATCCTGCTTGAACTGCTTTCAGACCCGATTTGCACCCAACCCAGAAGTCCGTGCCAGTCATACGGATCACTGTCCGGAGGAACACCTACGGATCCATACTGTATGAATAGTGGGCTTTGCGTACTTGACGAACAGCGGGCACGACGTTGCATTTGCATGCCTGGGTTTACCGGAACAAGGTATGCATTCACTTTCTGGGACTTGCGTTCTTTCGTTCTCACCCCATCGGTAACCAATTTCCGGTCGAATTTAGGTGAGGGATTTTTGTTCAATGCGGGTAAATCCGGTTATATGACTCTGGTGCTTGACTTAAGTCACTTTATTATGCTCCATCAGAAGACTAGAATCAATGACCATTATTTATGCAGTTAACCTCAGCGTTCCGCGGTCACCAAACGGACTCAATACCAATATGAATTTGGTAGATTTCAAGTTATTTTACGACAGCGAATCCCGGTGGATTCTACTACACCTTCATTGCGCTCAGTGGATGCCAACAAATAATGCGTGTCTCACTTCAATAGATCCATTTCGAACGTTTGCGATGCGTCAGCAGCATGTTGCGCAAAACGGACTGTTACTAAGAGTTTCCGAGACTTCATATTACCTTGGTAGTGTCTGCATCAACGGGAGGTCACTGATGATCTCCAGAAAATTCGCAAGTTGTCGCAGAAAACTTAACCAACCGTTTCCCAACCACAGCTCTCATGACATGGATACGCGAATATACCACTTGAAGGGACCTACCAATTATGTCCTCATCTAAGTCGTCGGTCTCTCTTAAAAGTGAGCTCCCCGAGGGTTGATGGAAAACGTGCAACTTATACTTTCGTAACACTCTCCCAGAGGGAATGTGAGCTTCCAGAAATGTGGCTAGGATCCGAAGGCCTCATGATTTCCGATTGTAACATCTCATGTGACCAGTAATCTTGTGATGGGGCTTGGCTGGTAATAACATTGTGTCAGCTGCTTTGAGGACTTTCTCGCGTACTGACGATAAACCTACCATATGGAGTCGCACAACTGAGCTGTTTTAAACTTACAGGTTAAAGTACAAGTCGGTACAAAAATACCGAAAGCACACCCCTGATGGGCTGAGGTTTTCAAGACACTCGTCCAACTAACCGGTTTGAAACGCTTTTCACTTCGTAGGAAAACGGCCTCATTGGCTGTTTGGATGCAGTCTGCTTAGTAGCACTATTGAAGCGGAACGCATTTTATCCGCCTGGAATTTAGAACTGCATCCCGAAAGACCTAGTGCAAACCGTGAAGTGACAGACTACTTCAGCTCGTAGAATGCGCGCCATTCTTGTTGCATCGTCATGTCTTTTCTAGTGATCGAGTCTTAAAATTTATGTACATGGCTACCTTCTAGAGAATTTACTGCACTTCGGACGTTGATGCATTATTTGGGCCTCACAACAGAAGCCTCCTCTAATTTGTGATTTTATCAGGCAGCCCTAAAATTGACTCAGAGAAAATGGCCTTTTAACCGCTACATAATACATGAGGCTTAGTTGCTTGCACTGTCGGTGTGACGTTAGACTGGTATGATCACTGTTGCAGAATATAGTGAGGATCTTTCAAGATCATCCTAGATCCATCAATGTAGAAGCCCCCTCAAAGCCTTTTAGTTGTTATTTGTTATTTAGTTGTAATTTGGGTAACATTATATAACCTAACAACGTTTGCTTTCTAAAGCCTTGCTTTTTATTCAAATAAAGGAATGCTTTTGCCCAACGAGAAGGATTCAGTGGCTGGTAACAAATATCATAGCGCTACAGAAGAGAGGACACGTGTGCGTGCCATTTTGCTCCTTCATTGTGTGGTTCTTTTTGGAGGTTTGAAGTTGGTAAAGCGGCATTAGCAAACCTAGGAGTAATGTGATTTTTTTAGGAAAACGTCAGTACAGGAGGCAGAAAAACGTTGTATTGGAGGGTACCAATGTTTAGAATGGAAATATACAGTTGTTTTTAAGGGTGAACTTTCCGGAGAAAGGAACATTTCTTAATGTCCTGAGGATGTTCACGTTTGAGTGATACTACAGAACTCGGGGTTGAGTCTATGGCCCAAATACTGCCACATGATGAGCTCATAAAGCTCGAAGCATTTTCCCAGGGGAGGTGTGCTAGACGTGTGTAGCGTTTAACTTTTAGTTCCTTCTTCATTCGTGCTGCGTAGCTTAGTGAGCATTTGTCCACGACACTGTTCAGGATTTTACCGATTCTATGTGCTTACTAGTAAGGGTTCCCACTGGCGAAAGGTATTACTACCAGTGCCACTGACTGAGTACCGGTGAGTGAACATAAACAGAAGAGTGTAGTACTTTCACAACAGACGTTTCGTGAACAGACGTTGCTCTCCTACGGAGGCACTCACAAGTTTTAAAAATTACTCGTGAAAAACAAACTGCCAAATAGCAGACACAGAAACAGTTTTCTCTGTTACGCTCCCCAATTGAACAGATTACAGCTTACAACTTCACTCTGTCTCTAGATCATGTGAACCAACAAATTAGAACTCTGCTGACTTTCCTGTGGTACAGAACACACAGAAACCAATTTAAAGACATGTTTTGACTGTTTTTTTTCAAAAGTGTGCAATTTTATCCACGTTTAATGGCCCAATCATCTCTTACCAAGATCAAGAATGTCGAATCTCAGATTGGAAAACCCAACCGTCGCTGTGAATAGTTTTTTCGTACACCCCGACTATCTCTTCGTATATATACGATTACAAAGGACATCTAGTTTCAAGATTCACTTGCAACTATTCGACAAGCATCATGATATATCAAACTACCTCGAAGTTCAAAAATTTGTCTGTGTCGCCCAGTAGTTACTTTAACAAACACATTGAAGTTTTTATTAACTCTGATAGTTCTGTAAGGGGCTATCAATGGAATGCAGCCTTAGGTGGAAGGCTAACCCTGGATAGACCAGTGGATACCAAACGAATGACTTATTAGACAAAAGAACTTTCCCACAAACGGGGCGCGTATGCGATTGTCAAACATTGTTTGTCATAGTTGGAAATGCGCTGATGCACGACTTTCCAACTTTGACTGATATTGTGGTTTCGACCAAGTTGAATGTATCAGTGCTATTCGACTGGGAGTCTTGTCTCATCTTTCGCCACCGGAAACAAACTTAGAAAACTTCGGGACGCCCATTGAGGACTTATTCATTGGCGATAAAGTTTGCCTCTTACACAAAGAAGCAAACAGATAGTGGCTGTTTTTCTTTAAGGCGAACAAATGATTATCACCTAGGTGCTACGCCCATATCTTCATTGGAAACGAAAAGCCACCACTGACTTCGTTGGCTACGTCTGTATAAGCCAAAAAGTCGAATACTTGTTCCGCTCTTAGCCATACGCGAAACCATTGGTATCAAATTCCTTGGGTGTAGACTTCTTACTTCCAATTCTTCGGTGAAACCTGTTCGAACAGTGCGTACAGCAGCAGTGCGGTCCGTAAATTAAAACATCAGGATACAAGGTGTGTGTACAACAACATGCACTCGTTTTGCATTGGTTCAACTCGAATGTCCGCTGACAGACTTTTTATGTGAATTTGTCGTCAGTGGTTATGGTGGTCTTGCTATCACACGACTGTATAACAGCGGATTGTTTAGAATGCTGACCGAGCTTAACTTTCTCGGTCTATTGACCAGCACACAATCCTTTGCAGAGAATCTTGATCGATCCTTCGAATAGTACCATACATCACAAAGACCAGTTCACATTTTCATAGTCGCGAACTTTGTTCAACACACGAAGTGACTGGCAGATGGTACACGGATGAAGGCGACGGCCTGAGCAGTTGTTGCAGTTCAAAGTAACCTACTAGATGTGGAAAAAATTCCCCACAAGAATTATATTATTCCGTTCGAAGGTATATTTATCAGCAACAGCATTCAGAGTTCTGAACGATGTTTTTTCGCTTGGGTTTGCCTATTCTTTGAGGCCCTAATGATGGTCATTTGGATACCTCGATTTTGACTGGTATCTACCGATTTATGATGAGGATGGAACTATTTGGGTGGAATCTATTACCTCTCAATTTCTACCTTCATTCTTTGATGGGTGGCAGAACTTTGGTTCGCTAGCTGGGGTGGACTGAAGAACCCTGACTTAAGTCCTAATACGTATGAGCAAAGATTGGTTGATATCTACCCACGCGGAACGAATTAAGAAGCGAAGTACGGAGAAGGAAAAATCGCATTAATCTGAGCTTCCCTAAGAGGCCTTAAATTATGTGGGGAGCTCAACAATGCTACTTCCATTATGGTTCGATTCCTTGACACAATGCCCCAATGGGAGGCAACATTCCCCACAAAGGCATTCTATAAAAAATACTGCTGTTTTATGATCTCCGAGAGCGCGCTTAAACTTGGTTTGTTTTCCGGGAACGTCATCTGATTTTGGAGTAGCAGGCTGAGGATGTATGGCTCGATTCGAAACAGAATTTCGAGTTGCACTGAAAAAACTAAGCAATGCTAATTGCGTTCTCATAAGTCATTTCTTCCTTTTTCTATTTTTACCAGGTATCTCCCCTAGTAGAGCTTAAAAAATCCTTTGCAACCCGTCACGGACTAACTGGGGATGTGTACGCTTGTTTCGTTTTGAGTATGTTGCTTGAAAAGTTCCTAAATGAAAGCTCATCCTTTGATTCAACGATCAATGTTCCGAGTGAAGTGAAGTGCTTCCGCATGGCTTTCATCAGTATTTGGTCTCTGGTTTGTTCGTTGCAAACGTTTCACCACCATTCGATGTGATGTCATCAGTGCGTTGTTTTTGGGGAGCATATTGGAGCTGAGCGATGGGTCAGTGGTTGTGCAGTGTTCTTTAAACAGGCATTCTTAGATTATAGGTCGGCAACCCCAGTGCTCACTCCAGATGTTTGCCATTGAGAGGTTTTACCAATTCGTAGTTTTGCAAGTGATCACAGAACTAAGTAGACTACCCGTTTTCCAGTTATTTTAGTATTTATCAGGACCGGAAGCTTGTCGATCCTGTGCAATGTAATGGCTTTTCTTGTGTCTTAACAACGACCCGTCGAACTGTAATCGATTCTAAGTTAGTGACCGTAGTCCGTTATCGATGTTGAAGGGTGTTTTGTTCTGAGGGGTTCGTACTGGGAGGTAGCGTTTTACTGAAAGCGATCAGGAGTTACGTACAAATCTGTCCGTACCCTTAGGTTTCAAAAGCTCTACGGTGGATTGGTCTAAATACGCAGGTTTTGGGTGCCGCGTGGGAAGGAGGTATCAACCTCTATTTTAAACGACTTGTTTGGAAAATACTTGGTTGGATTGTGCTGAAAATGAAAATCACGAAATGGCACTCTGTTTTCGGTTTTCATCTGGGGACTAGGGACGTTTCCATCTGTCCTATGGATTACGCTGCACGCCCTCCTTCTGGTGTGAAAACTAGTTACTGTGTTGCCGAATGTTTCGAACAAAATGTTGTGAACCGGGATTTCACCTAAATGCAGGCCAAGTGGGAGGATTTAACGATTTTGAGTGGTTTACAATTTTCATACCTGATCATACTGTCTTTTTGAACTTGAGCCTATATAGCTGTAAAGATTGAGTGTTCAAGCGAGTAGGTATTCGATACCGTCAATATCTGCTTTTTGTCCGGTTTGCTGAAATGCTTAAATGCTGCGGTATCTACGGGAGTAGAGACAGCCGATCCTTGAATCAGATTCAGAAACCTAAGCCACATAGCATCAGCTCCTTAACCAAATCGCCGTAAAGCTTACGAGCCCACAAAGGCGATCTAACAATAACACCCCAGAGGACTTGTAAGGTGAGGCACCCTGAGGTGAAAAACCAAAGACCAATACCCTATTGAAATCACTTCAAATCAACTCCATTGCATCTATCCTAAGACAGGACCACGCATTAGCCGACAAAAACGTTTAACAGGCATTCAACACGGATCTAGTTCGATAACCGAAGAAAATATCGCTGACTAGTCCTCGCTCAGCCTGCAAACTCCGTCAACCTAGTAGTCTACTCACCTGGCATTTTGGAGCCTTTGTGTCGAAAGCGAAATGTTGCCCAGCTCTAAACCCACCAACTGCTTACCAAACCCGTGTGAAACTACGAATATCTCTGTTTCTGTCAGTGCGTCTGTCACAGATTCCTTGCCGAATGGGCGATTTCCTACACTTAGTTTGGGCGCACAAAATTACGTGTCTGTCCATGCACCTCCTCAGCGATATATTTCTTCGTAAGAGATTTTCGTCTATGAACCAAAGCTGCAATAGATATTGCCTATTTCTGATTCTCGCTTTTCCGTATTTGGGCGATTGTTCCCCCAACAGCTGGAGAGAGTAACAGTCTCTCCTTTCCCGTCGCCGTCTTAGGTGTTGGACTGCTCAGCCCTGAAGTGTCCGGCAGCATTCACCTTGCACTATGAGAGATGTTTCACATGAATACTGGCTTTCTGCAGTTTCCGGTTCGTGAACGACTGGTGCATACGTCACTCTTGTGAGTGAGGTTAGCGATTGCTTGACTTTGAAGTTATAGGTGTGTACTTTCGACTGGAGCATCAGGTGATCACATCGTACTATACCCATCTGATGAGTCGCGGTAAGGACGGACTTATGGGTTGCTTTTCCAAGACTCATTACGGTTGCTTGTTATGCTTCACCAGACTGCGACTTTGTCGCCGTCAGGCACGATCCGGACGATTGATGATCACTGTTCGAAATTCGGAAGGCGCAGATCCCACCTCATTTAGTCCGCAAGGTTGGCACGAAAGCAATTCAGGCAGTTGTGATGTCCTGCAAACATATAGGATTTAATGCACATGGGTCGCCCGTGTTAAATTCTTCCTATTTTCATCAACCTGTCAGTGTCAATTGATAGTTCTACTTCGAGAAGTTTATACCTCCTTTAAGCTAATATTAGCTCCCACAGTTATAGGGTTTCAGGTAACTCTAGGTAATGACAGAAACAAAGCATGATTCGGACAATCACTTTGGCAAAGAGAATCCGTGCATTTTCCTTGAAGTTTAAGGAGCTGTTTCTTCACCCTCCTTTGAAAGACCGACTGAGGGAGGGAACATTCCAACATATATGCCATAGTGTCAACGAGGCACTGATTTGGTGTAAGGCATTATCGACCAACCGAATCGTGTTAGGTCGAATTTCGCCTCATCCGAAGCGCTCAAGTCGCTGTCTATCACCATTTTTCGTCGCCAAAGAATTTATAATTTTCATTGTATCACGTCGCAGTCACGTGTGGTGTACTTGACCAGCACTTGACCAGTGTGCAAACGCCACACCAATATCCGATCTAATCATGCGTCATTCCTCCTAAAGCGCACAACAGTACTCTCAGTAGGCTCAGCTGATTTTAGCTATGTGCTACATAGATTCATGATACGCATGCTGTACAGTCCGTTCGCAATCCGAATTTTCGGTCATGTGGCTCGAGCTGGAATCAACGCTGTGATTCTCCTTGTTTACCAGTATTCAATAACCACCAGCATACACAGTCACTCATGCCAATAAGAAGCACCACAAACCCTGACAATATTCTCAATGGTGGCTAGCTCTCTTCACGAACGTATCTGCGTAGTATGCATCAGTTCTGCTGGTTTAACTTGAATTGACCTTCAGGTTTTCGTGATGTTCAATCTATTCGCTTATGCAACTGTAACCGAGGTTGACTCGTGTTTTCATACGCACCACTCTGCTCACGTGACTGTGTGAAACTGTGCTACTTTGCACGGAGTCAAGTGGATTAGAAGTTGAGCTCATTCGTCTGGTTCTTTATAGTTCAAAGTAACTATAGGAGACTGTAACATTCCACAGGACCTAAACTACCATCCTTCAACACAAACACTGCGACTCAGACTAGGAAAAATTCCATCGATTTTTGTTCTCATTAGGAGATCACGCTTTGTCGTGTTTCCATAAAAACAAACATCTCAAATGGTTAAAACATTGAAACCTATCCGTTATCAAAGAGAATGTCAAGTTATTGAAAATGTATAAATTGTCTTTTTAAGAACATAAATAATTTCGGCTTTGCATTTATGCTTCGTTTTTTCTATTGTTCTCATGAACGTTTGAACATATGTAACACGATTATGGTACAGTAACCGCCTGTGATAAGAAACCTTTATTTTGGACTTCGCAGCATTCTTGTTCAACTGCTCAACCAAGCTTCTGACCCTCCAAAGGGAGGTGACTGCCCCCAGGAAAGCTCAAAACTCCATTTGCCTTGTAGAGGTCACTTGTGTGGATTGGTGAATACAAAACTGCCACCTTCTATTGTGGTTCCCGAATGTTCGGAATCTCCCGTTACCTCCACTTTGGATACGACTAGCTAAAGCTCTGTACCGTGGATAACCGAAATTGATTTCGTGCTCATTTGTGGTGGCAAATCCCACTCTGGCGAGTGAGCATTTCTCAGAAAACCGTTGCTTATAAACAGTTCGAAATGGTTTGTGATCTGAGATAGACGTCACAGGGCGCGACCAACAAGGCAGCGGGAAGATGTAGGGTTTGGTTCGGGACCTTGCCCTTAGCCTCCACCTCAAATGTCTGGCACACGAGACAGCGAGCAGTAGAGTTTTTTCTGAGGACTCTTCCCGAAGCCGATTCCTCAATAATCCGGCGTGCAAGGCTGCATGGAGCTGGCCTAACCCGAAAGTAAAGCATTTCTGCCTTACTCCTGATGTGGCTGCGCACGTATCTTGGGCAGCAACAGACTAGTTGGTTTTAGAAGTATTTCGACCGTATTGAATAATTCGCTGGCGGTCACGATCAACCGTTGGGTGATCATAGTGGGTGGTTTTTAGGGCCGACCTTTTCAAAATGTCCGTTCTCGGGAGGAAGGCGACATAGCTGCTTCTATGAATATGGGCATGGTGGTCGCCTGGGGAGAACACTTTACCGCTAACGATAAAAGGACTAATAACACTCCATAGGTTTTACTGACTTGGCCACGTTCTCCAGTCGACCACTTCCTCGGAAAGACATTTCCGCACAACCACACGAAGGGTGGAAATGAGTCAGTGGAGATCAAACAACGACTTGGCAGCGAAGTTTGAGAACCATTACCAGCAAACTCCGTTGTGTTGATCATTGCCGTCTTGTTGGATGCTGACCTCGAGGGACATCAATGGCTAGAGGCATTGCCAGACATGTTCCGGTCGCGCCCTCAATGACTCTTATGCATCCAAACTGTTTTCTTCAATGAAAATCTCCCTACCCGATCTCCTCACTGGAATGTCTACTGGCGCCCTTATCTTTACGCACCAATTATATCAGCTACCGCCTCCAGTACGTATCTCTCTAGTTACCTGTCCAAAGATCGGTTAACGAATCTGTGACTGCTATAACTACTGTACGGCAAGTGCACGGTTTTGTAGCGACCCGGTCACCCACATAAAGATCGGTTACGAATCTGTGACTGCTATAACTACTGTACGGCAAGTGCACGGTTTCACAGCTGATGATGACGATGTCTCAGTGTCAACAAAAAAGGTCTCCATACAATCCAAAACTAACAAAGCTTCTTGTTGCCCTGTAGTTCTTAGTTTTATCGAGAGCTTTCTGCCAGTAGACAGCAAATACCTATGCAGCAGACACCTCCAGATTCCCAAGTTGTTTTTTTTATTATAACAATCTAAAGCATATCATCCTGAACGAATAGGCTTTATTTGCAATAATTTCTGTCTGATACCGGGCTTTTGTAACCTGCTTTCCGTGCTCGTTAAATTTTATTTAGATGTGAACATGATGTGGATGAATGCTCACACTGGTATTCGATTCAACATTCACGGGAAGTAACCGAGGTCCCTGAAAAGATCGCTGAAGTAATCAAATGTTACACACCCGGACATGTAGCCAGTCCTTGTTGTGGAGAAGAGTCTGTGTGTGTTAATAAATTCGGTGGCTATACATGTCTGTGTCCCATCGGTTGGACGGGGCTTCACTGTGAATACCCACCCACCCTATGGCCTCCTGGTTTCCAGCCTCAGGTCAACGAATCCGTGGGCTATGGCAATGTGGATTTCGGACTATGGAGCGTAAAAGCCCCAACAACAGAAAACGTTAAAATTGTGAGTGAAAGTAGCTTACCGCTTATGTTTCTGACATACAATTTAATCAGATTTGGTAAACTTGCACCTGATGGTAAATCTATGTAATTGGCATCAATATCATACGTTCTCCGAACTGGCAATCCGTGATGACTGAACAAACGGATACCTGCGCGTATTTCGAAAGCCACGTATAGTTTGCACGAAAGCCACTGTGGTGCTAGGTATGATGAACAAGATTGGCAGACGAGTGTGCAGGGGCCTTTTGCAATCCATTGGTCGAGCTAAATTTGGCGGCAAAACACTGCGCACCGTGACCAGCGTTTTCCGTCGATTCCTTTAATTTCGGAACGATATATTTTCAATCACAGTGCTTAAAAAGTATTCCCGGGCTTGCTTACTAGAACACTGCTACGTTGACAATGGATTGCTTTGAAATATTCCACGAAGCGCACAGCTAGCAATGTTGCCTTCCTGAAAATGTCAATACATGGGCTAGATATCGGTTGGAAACAACGGTTTCTGTTTTGATGTTAAGCAAGTAGGTGGGTGTGAGTACCCTGGTGACCCACAATTTGTATGCGTCCACATTTTGCGCTTGTCCAAATGCCAGTCACTACACTGAAGAAAGTGGACCCCCTCTAGGTATTTCACTTGTTTCAGATCATTCAAGTGCATCATGTTTCACGACTTCTCACATCCGCGTAGATAACTGTTCTCTAGACTCTGTCGGGTGCCCAGCTCTGCTGTGATCTGAAATGGAAGTATGTTTTCTATAGAGAAAAATGTTGGTAGCTCAGGTAGCGTGGACGGTCGCTGGCTTGTTCGCTGAGCTGGGCAATTTGATTGCAAGCGTTTCATCACCAATCGAGGTGACATCATCAGTGCGTTGTTGGGAGCACAGTGGTGCGTGGTTGGTGGTTAACCAAACATCATGCCGTTGTGCGAAACAGTAGTGAAATCAAGCCAATGTCTTTCGCGAACCTCACCCAGCAGGAGCCCAGCATATATAGGCGGAGAGGTATTCGCTGGGCAGTTAAGCTAGCGACGGACATCATGAAGTTCACTGGGATCGGCTAGGTGCCATGTCCCGTATGGTTTCCATCCAAGGCCAAGGAGAATTACGTAGGCACAACTGAGAAGGTATGAAATTCCTACGGAGCCATGATTGGTTGTTCGCACAACAGTACTGTATATCACCTTATTGACTCTTTCGCCAGGCTGGGCCAGGAACAAAAGCAGCGTCTTTGGTAGACAGTGGTTGAGCACGTACGTTGAACATCACTACCACTTCGATAGTGCGGTGATTGCTAGGTCTTGTATTGGCATATCACTTTTGAAAGGATGATGTACGTTTGCCCTTGGTGGCTTTTAAATATGAGCTGAATAATGTTGGGGAAAGGATATGATCCGCTTTCATTTCTGAATTAGATTTGAACTCGGGTAAAGTGGTCACAATGACATTCACTCGATCTATAATTCCACCGTGTGAGCCCATTTTAGGTTGACAAGTTTGTCCGGGCATTCATGTTGCTCGATGTTGCTTCAATGAAGTCCATGAGCAGGCATTGGAGTGTCTGTTTCCGTTTGTGATACTCCCCTTATATCTCTCTCTATCTGTCTATCAACTGTAGTTTGCTGCTTGGAAGGCTAAGACAAGCGTTGTATCCGGTTATCCACGTAAAGTCGTTTGAAGAAACCGCAATTGGTGCAGGGCCATCAAAGTGGCAGTGTACCTAGTTGTTGTAACGTCACTATAATCATATGGCAGCAGAAGAAAAACACCATACCGATGGCGAATTAGGACATTTGTCAGATTACACTTACACAGCTTACTCGATTTCCAACAAAATCAGTCGTCCAATCGAATCCAGAAAGCTGAAGTTTTCACATTAGCTAAGGTCTACGAAATTTAGTGCTCCTCCAATCGCGACAAGCAACGCTGGATAGGCCACAGGAAAAAAAAATGGTTGTTACGATATCTCAGAACAACTTCTCCACCATTTCAATAGAGATTTCAACTTGCAAGTGAAATCAGTTCGTGGCGAAAAGCCGGGAGGCACTGTATACCCATTTCATCCTTGTCGGGCATCCATGTCGGGCAGTATACTTCTCATGAATATCTAAGGTGATTGAACCCCTTTACCCTCCGGTTATTAAGTGAGCACATCACCGTTCTGGCACGAACGGCTGATTAGCAGCCTGAGTAACTCGCACTCATATGCGGTTCACGTCACACGGTCATGGGTTGACTGGCTCCTTGAAAGAGGAATTATTAGATAAAAGGCTTGTGCGGCTCGTGAGGTCTTTCTGAGAAGACTTAATGTTCGTAGTGTGATAGTGCCAAATTTCGACAGGAAGTTTACTTCGATTGAAATGTGGGCTCAATGTCAACCGAATTTTTGGCGTTCTCGAAGAAATGTCAAAAGTTAATAATCCTCTTCTCTGGTCTTGGAAAAGTGTGACGCTTACCAGGTTGGTCTGGGGAACTGCATTCTGTACAAGCTTGATGGGCATCGAGACAGCGCATCATAGTCCTTAAACGGTTGTACCTTAGTTTATTCACGGTAACTAACCTCTGGGGCACTAGTGGAATGTCATCCCACAGAAAAAGTTGCACGGCTGTTTGTTGCGGGCAGCGCGGTAATTGTCTTGAAGCCAAAGGGATGAAAGATAAGCCTACGCCGCTGTGTAAAAACAGCCTGTGCCGCCACATTTGAGTAGACCGGTTTCTCCCAACAAAGTCCTGCCTGTTGGCGGATCTTATCGCTTCGTTTTCTACATGTACGGAAAATGCCCTGAGGATGTTGTGAGCTAGTCAAATCTCGGAAAAACGAAGCCTCGCTTGAGATCCAGTATCTGACATAACTCTGTAATAATACCACTTTAACCTCATGAGAAATTTGGATGTCCGCTGAGCTAACCAGCACACTACTCCTTACTCCGTGTGTTTCTATAAGCACAAATCTCAGTGTGTCTCGATTGCAAAGGAGCTGTACCCTCCACGGTTGGGCAAACTTTCTACGCTCATTTGAGCAAGGAACTATTCTCCATGGTCATTCTTCAATAGCACTTCGCACTGTCTTCTCCCACATCTTTAGTCTTTATGCTCCACGAGACTACTGGAGTCCACATCAGTTGTGACCCCTCCTTCGTTCAGTTGCACTGGTGGCGTTTCAGATTTGCCTACTCTGATGTCGTCCTCCAAGCAAAGCACTTTGTTCTTCTGAAGGGACATGAGTTTGGCATTGCCTCCTTTCCCTCCATTCTTCACAGGAACACTTTCTGAGAGTGCAATAAAGTATGTACTATGTGCCTCTGTTGTAGTTTGTCGCTGATGACGATGTGTTTTCTATTGTGTAGTGAAAATTAGTTGTTGCTGAAATGTACAAACTGAATATTGCTTTGGTCAAGGTAAGCGCCGGTTGCATTCCCTCACAGTGGCTCGTCTCCTTCCACCTTATCATTGTTTTGCCGTTGTTGTCACCTTCGTGATACTGTCACCGGCTCTTTTGGCATGGAGCATGTGTCCTTGGTTGGGGGTTCGGATTGTCCAATGTGATCATCACATAGAGTCCATGAGTTTTATTGCTATCCCATCCCGTCAGCTACCCATCCTTTTTTTGACAGGACGACGCTTCAAGTACCGGTTACTGGTGGATTGTGGCATTCGGTGTTCTGTTTCTGATCCTATTCTTGACGCTAATTGGAGTCGTCATCTGCTGTGTGTTTCACTGGCGCCGTCGCAGCAAACCGGAGATGTTACCCATGCGACCGTGAGTTCCATGTGTTTAGTCAGTGTGTTTCTCCTGCGACTGAGGAGAAACACGTTTATGAGTTAGTCAGCACTTCATGTTCCAGTATATTTCTACTTTTTGGATTCTTTAGATGCAATGTGCAGTGAGCAGACTGACTGATTGACTTGTAAATGAATGGCAACAGAAAACTCCCACTGGTAGTCACTCTATGTCAGAAAGATTTTCATCTGGCTTTTAGTTCGCGGCCAAACGTCTGCTATTCATTAAACCCCTGAATGATCATGGGAGACCAGCTTTTGTTGGGCGATTGCTGATGAGTGTCTCTAGAAGTTGAACAGCGTAATAAAAAACAGCTATCAAGATTAATTCACTCTGTCTTGCAGACCTAAGAATTACCCAGAGAAGCGGTCGGAAGGGTCAGCCTAAGAACCGAAAAACATTGGAAAACACTCCTGGCAGTGGCCGTGAAAACTGCCAGTTACTCAAGCAATCGCAGAGGAAAAGATCCAAAAATTTACTGGAAGTTACGTCCCGTGCTTCGACAAGTGAAGCAAATCCAATAACAATTTAGCTGACCTTAACTGCTTAGCGTGACGACCAATATTATCGCCTCTATAGTAAAATATAGACTGCTGGCTTTCAACTGGAATTGAAGTCACAAACGGAATTTGGGAACAAAACATCCAGTTCTGAACCTCTACCTCTAATTCTTCTAATTTCGAAGAGAGTGGGCTCATACACATTTTGACAAAACTCGGTCACAACGTTTGGAAAATGAAAGAAGGCAGGGAAATGATAAACATTTACCTCCGCCTTAGAAGGATCTGTCAGATGTGAATGTTGACAACATTGGGTTATTAGTCTGATTGTTCACGCTTCCAACGAACATTATCCCGAATGAACTTATCAGCACTCATCACAGGCAGAGTCCTGGAAACAAAGCAGGATTCTGTCTAGGTTGTGGGTGTACTGACCATATAGTTATCTTGAGTAAAACAGGAAAAAAAAATGGTTGTTACGATATCTCAGAACAACTTCTCCACCATTTCAATAGAGATTTCAACTTGCAAGTGAAATCAGTTCGTGGCGAAAAGCCGGGAGGCACTGTATACCCATTTCATCCTTGTCGGGCATCCATGTCGGGCAGTATACTTCTCATGAATATCTAAGGTGATTGAACCCCTTTACCCTCCGGTTATTAAGTGAGCACATCACCGTTCTGGCACGAACGGCTGATTAGCAGCCTGAGTAACTCGCACTCATATGCGGTTCACGTCACACGGTCATGGGTTGACTGGCTCCTTGAAAGAGGAATTATTAGATAAAAGGCTTGTGCGGCTCGTGAGGTCTTTCTGAGAAGACTTAATGTTCGTAGTGTGATAGTGCCAAATTTCGACAGGAAGTTTACTTCGATTGAAATGTGGGCTCAATGTCAACCGAATTTTTGGCGTTCTCGAAGAAATGTCAAAAGTTAATAATCCTCTTCTCTGGTCTTGGAAAAGTGTGACGCTTACCAGGTTGGTCTGGGGAACTGCATTCTGTACAAGCTTGATGGGCATCGAGACAGCGCATCATAGTCCTTAAACGGTTGTACCTTAGTTTATTCACGGTAACTAACCTCTGGGGCACTAGTGGAATGTCATCCCACAGAAAAAGTTGCACGGCTGTTTGTTGCGGGCAGCGCGGTAATTGTCTTGAAGCCAAAGGGATGAAAGATAAGCCTACGCCGCTGTGTAAAAACAGCCTGTGCCGCCACATTTGAGTAGACCGGTTTCTCCCAACAAAGTCCTGCCTGTTGGCGGATCTTATCGCTTCGTTTTCTACATGTACGGAAAATGCCCTGAGGATGTTGTGAGCTAGTCAAATCTCGGAAAAACGAAGCCTCGCTTGAGATCCAGTATCTGACATAACTCTGTAATAATACCACTTTAACCTCATGAGAAATTTGGATGTCCGCTGAGCTAACCAGCACACTACTCCTTACTCCGTGTGTTTCTATAAGCACAAATCTCAGTGTGTCTCGATTGCAAAGGAGCTGTACCCTCCACGGTTGGGCAAACTTTCTAAGCTCATTTGAGCAAGGAACTATTCTCCATGGTCATTCTTCAATAGCACTTCGCACTGTCTTCTCCCACATCTTTAGTCTTTATGCTCCACGAGACTACTGGAGTCCACATCAGTTGTGACCCCTCCTTCGTTCAGTTGCACTGGTGGCGTTTCAGATTTGCCTACTCTGATGTCGTCCTCCAAGCAAAGCACTTTGTTCTTCTGAAGGGACATGAGTTTGGCATTGCCTCCTTTCCCTCCATTCTTCACAGGAACACTTTCTGAGAGTGCAATAAAGTATGTACTATGTGCCTCTGTTGTAGTTTGTCGCTGATGACGATGTGTTTTCTATTGTGTAGTGAAAATTAGTTGTTGCTGAAATGTACAAACTGAATATTGCTTTGGTCAAGGTAAGCGCCGGTTGCATTCCCTCACAGTGGCTCGTCTCCTTCCACCTTATCATTGTTTTGCCGTTGTTGTCACCTTCGTGATACTGTCACCGGCTCTTTTGGCATGGAGCATGTGTCCTTGGTTGGGGGTTCGGATTGTCCAATGTGATCATCACATAGAGTCCATGAGTTTTATTGCTATCCCATCCCGTCAGCTACCCATCCTTTTTTTGACAGGACGACGCTTCAAGTACCGGTTACTGGTGGATTGTGGCATTCGGTGTTCTGTTTCTGATCCTATTCTTGACGCTAATTGGAGTCGTCATCTGCTGTGTGTTTCACTGGCGCCGTCGCATCAAACCGGAGATGTTACCCATGCGACCGTGAGTTCCATGTGTTTAGTCAGTGTGTTTCTCCTGCGACTGAGGAGAAACACGTTTATGAGTTAGTCAGCACTTCATGTTCCAGTATATTTCTACTTTTTGGATTCTTTAGATGCAATGTGCAGTGAGCAGACTGACTGATTGACTTGTAAATGAATGGCAACAGAAAACTCCCACTGGTAGTCACTCTATGTCAGAAAGATTTTCATCTGGCTTTTAGTTCGCGGCCAAACGTCTGCTATTCATTAAACCCCTGAATGATCATGGGAGACCAGCTTTTGTTGGGCGATTGCTGATGAGTGTCTCTAGAAGTTGAACAGCGTAATAAAAAACAGCTATCAAGATTAATTCACTCTGTCTTGCAGACCTAAGAATTACCCAGAGAAGCGGTCGGAAGGGTCAGCCTAAGAACCGAAAAACATTGGAAAACACTCCTGGCAGTGGCCGTGAAAACTGCCAGTTACTCAAGCAATCGCAGAGGAAAAGATCCAAAAATTTACTGGAAGTTACGTCCCGTGCTTCGACAAGTGAAGCAAATCCAATAACAATTTAGCTGACCTTAACTGCTTAGCGTGACGACCAATATTATCGCCTCTATAGTAAAATATAGACTGCTGGCTTTCAACTGGAATTGAAGTCACAAACGGAATTTGGGAACAAAACATCCAGTTCTGAACCTCTACCTCTAATTCTTCTAATTTCGAAGAGAGTGGGCTCATACACATTTTGACAGAACTCGGTCACAACGTTTGGAAAATGAAAGAAGGCAGGGAAATGATGAACATTTACCTCCATCTTAGAAGGATCTGTCAGATGTGAATGTTGACAACATTGGGTTATTAGTCTGATTGTTCACGCTTCCAACGAACATTATCCCGAATGAACTTATCAGCACTCATCACAGGCAGAGTCCTGGAAACAAAGCAGGATTCTGTCTAGGTTGTGGGTGTACTGACCATATAGTTATCTTGAGTAAACGTCTGGAACACCAATAATTATCATCATCTTTGGTCTAAACTTTACTTTTGCTTTATTCGATTGGGCTACTTGCGGCTTCCCCTTATATGTCTTCCCCTTATATACGTTCCTTGCTTCTTTGTTACCATTCTCTAGCCTTAAACTTTGAAAACAATGGGCGCCTGAGTGTCTACAGAGAATGTCCTCTTGCGTTCATCAAAAGTGCTGTTCTCCAGTACTGTTGTTTATTATCTTCCCTTTTGACTTTAGTAATTAACTTTATTCTCAGGGGAACCCTTTCACTGTCCACTACCGTCGGTGTGGAGAATAGTTTAAAAATCTTAACTATGCAGCTGATATCGTACCACTTGTTCCAGCTTCCATGTGGGCACAAAATATACGGGATCCAAATGGTTGCCTCAAGCGATTCAGAATACGCCTTACACGAAGCGTTCTGGCAAGGCTAGGTCGGTGCTCCGCCAAAGCCTATCATGATATGAGAACAACAGGATATAGCAGACTGTTGGGTGGCAGAACTGCGGATGAACTGTTTGGTAGGACTGCCAAAGCCCGTCATAATTCCCTTAAACTTGGGTGTCTCCGGGGCTGATGTGACATTAGTCTGTCGGTTGCTCTGATTGCGTAGTTGTGAAGTTCGGCCATTGTGCGCTCAAGCTAAAGAGCCAATTGCGTTTAGCTATCAGCGCCTCCGAGTCACTGAACACGTAATAGTCTATCGTATTAGGAAGATTGAAGTGCGGCTAATGCTCTTCGCAGCAAATTCAGTGCATGTTATTTAATCAGCGACTTCCTTCGGCTGTGCTTCAGTTGTCAAACGATGGGTTGCTCTGTCGTGCTTGACCTGCTGAAACAGGTTTTGATTAGAAGACAAGATAGGCAACGCACAACTTCGGGACAAGATCTCAAGCTTAGAACAACGCGCTAACTCAGTGGTTGAGATCCCCATCGACATGAAAACCATGCTCAACTTCATTCTTCGAAGCATCAGTTAGATAGCTCTGCGCTTTCAGTTATCTCTAACCTCATACCAATCTAAATCGATTAAGTTGACTTGTGTATCATGTGTCTGTACTCCCCTGTAGTCGAGGCATCACGTGCCACAGAAAAGTTGAAGTACCCTCTTCCGTCACGCGGTCTCCTGCGTTGATTCCATGCAATAAACAGCCTTGTGATAGCTCTTCTCATTAGACTGTGTTTTGTCAGCAATGACATTGAATTAAATGTGGTGTAGCGTCATTATTGATGGAGAACATAAATACTAAGTTGCGAATATTACAGCCAACTAACCCTAAATGCAAATATCGATATTATGAACCAGTTTATTAACGAGGGCAAACTCCTACTTTATATTTTCGGGATATCTTGTTCTCTTACTCACTTGCTATGAATACCGATACGGCATGTCATTCTTTCGATGACTGTTTTGGTTCGGAAAATATGACGCACAGATCGTTTACGGTCAATCGCTTTTTTCCAGTAACATATACATCGTAAAAGGACGAAAATTGGTTTTCACGATAGAGATGCTGAATTAAACCTTCCTAATTATTTATTGCCTAGTAGACAGGATAATAAGAGGCAGAAAACGGTTGCTTACTGTGCTTCGTCGGCTCTAGTCTGTCGCACTCACAGTATTTGTCCCTGAACTTTTGTGCAAAATGTGATTTCCTGAATGATGCATACAATTTACTCACTCCGTGGCTAAGACACCCTTGGCAAGGTCAAAGTGTGATTTGTGGCACAACCGTCACGTTGGATAGTAACACATCAACAGTGTTTACTGCAAATACAGTGGTAAAAACTGTGGTAGATACCAGCAAACTCTTAGCACAATCCTTAAGAGAAAAAGCCTACTAATGAAAAATGTATGGAAACCGAATGGAACGATTAGTCGCCCACAGTTTATCAAACAGGCCGACTCCATTCGTAGCTAAAATTTAGGCGTTTTATTCGTGCAGCCAACACAATTCGGGCGTTCTACTTTGTGGATTGTTCAAAATCATGCTTTTAACAAACTTCATTCTTTCTTGCCTTGTTCTGTTGGATTTTGGCGACAGATTTTCTCCAAATTTTCAGACACAGAAGGACCGGCGCTGAAAAGCCCCTTTCTCTTACTAGAAGATAACATCAACCACATAACTGAGCATCAATTCGTAGCCCTTCATCCGTATTGGCCTACGTGAATGCAGTGAACATATCTCGTTAGGTGGGCGCTAATCAAACGCATGCAGTACGAAATCGGCCAATTTGTCAACCAAAAAAAAACGGCATATCCAACTGAAATCAGCCGGTCCATTTTTTTCACATGCGTAGAACGGTCGTCAGTTTTGAAATCAAATGAATTTTGGCAGCCTTATCGTTGGATGAGATACATGTTAGTCAGGTCAAATCTGGTTAGGTGCGCCGTCCAGCACAACAAATCGATGAACTTGTGGGTACCTTTTAGAAATGGTGTCATTGATTTCCTTGTTACCAACCCATTTACGCCAGGAAGAAAGTACCACCAGCAAACGAATTGCTCAACCAGACAATATGTTCATATTTGGTTATGTTGGTGTCTGCTCGAATGTGACTGATATTCACCACATTCAAACTCGAACAGAAAGTTTTTGCTATCAGTTGACGAACGAAGTGCTGACTTAGCTATTGCTGCACAATTCACCAAAAATGTGCACAACTTTACTCCGCTGTGTTAGCAAAATAAACGACTGAACAAAAATCTTGTGTGCGCCTGCTTTTTTGAGGTTATGCGAACATTGGTGTCGCAGTTGTCTCCCTCTGAGTAGACAACTTCACGGGGGAGGCCACCTTTAGTTCGTTTTTCAAAGACTGAATTGAATCGTAGGACTCTGAAGATAAAATACCCACATTTGCACTTCGGACCATTTTTCGCAACATGTTTTGTCCAAACTACCTTCTGGAGTGATTTTTGAAAAATCAATCAGCCCCACTTTTCCTCCAGCAAGCACGTTTTCCCAAAGGTTTGCCTGCTCCAAGTTCAAAACACATTTTACAGAAATCGCAAACCAAGTAATGATCGTTTGTATGTCTGCTGAGCTGAGCAATTTGATTATGAATGTTCCACTATCAATCGAAGTGGCATCACCGGTGACCAACCACCGACCCATCGCCACGCTCCACTACGCTCCCTGACTGGGCACTGATGATGTCACCTCGATTGGTGATGAAACGTTTGCAGTCACATTGCCCAGCTTAGCAAAGAAACAAACGATTATCTATGCTACATGTGCTAACAACGTTCTCCTCTATAGAAAACCAAGTAATTTCATTATGTGCGTCTTTGGGTTAGTCTTTTCAACATGCCATCACATGTGCAACTCGAAGATGAAGAATTGACCGGCTTTGGAGCCAACAGCACTGTGTGTTCTGTTGCACTGGAGAGTCACGTGCCACATGTCCAATATCTAGGCTTGGCTCAAGCGAACGCGTAGTTTGGAGAAACAGCTAAGAATGCTTAAGAGCGGATTCTCGCCACAGCGGCGTACATCGGGTAAAAGTGTAACTAAGCACGTCTATTTCACCCCATCACTTGAGTAATCAAGGTTGGGATCTTGTGAGTACCGAATGTCTTCTATCACGTGTATCTGAGTCGGTTAATTTGAAATATGACGAATTCTTACGCAGCATTACATCACTGAAAATATTTAAGATATTATCACTTTAGTAGCTGCGTGAGGTTGGATTTCTGTTGGTGTTTCAAACCCGGACAATGTGGCACTGGAGACAGTTACCTCTGTTGTCAAACGAGGAATGCCTCTAACTGAACACTGCTAAGTGAAGGGAGAAAATTCTTCGCAGCTTCAAGGAAATGTATTGATATGTATAGCTGGACATTCCCCAATACTTAACTGAACACACTGGGTCATTTTGTGGTGCTGGTGGATGTCTTCAGGAAATGAGGATGAATGTAATAAACTTGATCAGTGACAACTTGATTTGGCAACCACTTAAGTGGCATTGACAAAAGCATCCGGGCACGACGAAAATGCATCTTCATGTCTAATTTTACAACATCGATCGGAGGAATATTCTAGCTGATTTACGATATACGCTTCGAACCAGTCAAGAAAGGTATTACGTTGCCAACAGTAGCACAACATTATTCTCTAAAAGTATACCTAGTTGGTTTTTCATTAATTCGCTCTGTGGAGAAACCTTAGCTTGGTCCCTTCAGGGGCATTTGTCGTATGGTCTTGACAAGTTCGGTCACTCCCACCGCGCAGTCACATGTACTTACATGGTTTGTCCCACAAATTTGTGATCAGGTTGCGACAACACCCGAATTGCTGTGTTGTGCGGCATAGGGTCGATTTGATAGGCCACTGATATACAGTGGAAGAACGAAATTTAAAGTACCGGGAAAAATGACTTTTGATTTAATAGATATTCAGGCAAGGCGCTCAAGATCCGGAGAAGCCTATCGGAATTCGTAGCATTGCTGGATGAGACAGTGACCAGATTTGAGCTCACACCTAATCGACTTTTATCCAGCCAAAATTGTGTTTTGGCCGGATAGCCAGACAGCACAAAACAATCTGAGTTGTAGCGATTCACTGAAGCTGCATTCAGACCCCTCTTCGGCTTTGCAATGTCCTAACAAACTGACACTTTTTCTAATTGCCTATTGGTCTATTCGCCGAACTTGACAACTGGATTGCAAACGTTTCATCGACACTCGGGGTGACATCGTCGGCTCGGGATTTGAATGGGTGCGCACACTGCTGCAGCATGGCGTTAAAGCGATCGTTGTGAAAATATACAGCCCACCATTTTGTGCGTATGAGTGTTTTAGCACCCTCTGCGCAAGTTTGGCTCTAGCTAGAATATTCCCTTCCGGACGAATTCTGCTAGGGTCGCAACATGCGCAGTTTGTCGTCGCATTACACTGATTTCGCAGCGGCAGATTCCATAGTGAACACTCATTATTGAGGTGAGTATATGTGATCCGGTGACTGAAACTGTAGCAGCCTTAACCAAGGTGCATATGGTGCACTGTTTATAACTGATAAATTGACTTGACTTAATTAAGTGTATGTAAGCGGGTGTATGTGTACAGGGTGATGAGCAATATCAGCTCCTTATCATGTTTCTTCTTTGTTGCAGGCTTCCGGAACCCTACCACCATCAACCGAAGAGGTATAGCAGACCAAACAATATGGATTCCTGTAAAGGAAGTGTTTCAAACGCTCTTTACACCATCCAACCCGGTCCAACATCATTTCCATTGTTATATCCAACGCTTCCGAAAGAGGCTGACTGGGATACAATACCAAAAAGTCCTGCTGGTTGCTCAATACAAGATACAATGTACGAAGCACTTTCAGACCGGCATTCTGAATACGACTCCCTTGTGTTGCCCGGTGAAGATGAGTATGAAAAAACAGAGGAAACGCCAAAAAGTATGGATTCCGAAGCCCAAAACATCAACGAAAGTGAAAAATTGATGATCCCTACGTAAACCAAATAGATGACGCCAAGTTTAGAGCTCAAGTCGCTATCCGGTCCCTTATGTAAATCATTCCATCCGAAGACGAAGCTCCTCATTAAATGTGACGAATCAGTCTGGATATGTCGGGATATGTTAGGTTTTAGTGTCATTTGCCTTGATTTTAGTTCACTTCTCATTGCTGATACTTTTGCTTCTTCTTGGACAAATCAAAGCCTTTTTGAATATGATTTTTTCAAATGTATACATATTTTTCAAATGCATACAAGAAGTATCAAGTATTGCCATGCTCGTTTGAAGCATTTGTTTTCTTCACCGGGGATGGGGTTTCGGTACATGCCATTTTTATAATGGTATACATGACTTAACCTGCCAATCTTCGGATCCTGCAGAGTGTATCGTACACAGTGACACTATTTTCAATAAATTAAACTGTCACAACGTTGCTGAAGACTTCAACAGACCACGACCGTTTTCGCCATTCTTGTGGCACATCTGGTAGGCATGGTCCCCAAGTTTCCGTCAACCTTATACCCTACTTCAGCCAAATTGGACAGATTTTGGCAGATACACTCATTCGTATATCAGTTTGGTTTTCACCGGAGATTTAACTGAATCTTTCATTTTTTTTTAATCATAAACCAGAGATTTATTTGAGTCTCCCCTGAAGACCAAATTGATATGCAAATGGGTGCATTAGTCGTGAACCACTTTTACTTTTACCAAAGTAACCGATTTCATTAACGGAGTCGGGATCGGAAAGTGGTACTAGAGATTACTTTTAGGAGTAATGTTTAAACCAGAGTTTATTTGAGTCTCCCCTGAAGACCAAATTGATATGCAAATGGGTGCATTAGTCGTGAACCACTTTTACTTTTACCAAAGTAACCGATTTCATTAACGGAGTCGGGATCGGAAAGTGGTACTAGAGATTACTTTTAGGAGTAATGTTATCTCACTATCCTGAGTGCGAATGGTGGCTGATTTTGCAATAGTCGGCGCCCTGATTTTTGTCTGCTGTGATGTTTTCCAACTGATTTCTGACAGAACGGGAAGTGCTGTGGCGCTAGGGCTTTGGTGCCCTGTGTGTTTCGAGGAAGCACTAATGAACCGCTGCCAACCAACCAAAAAGGTCTTCTATGACGCTGGGTTTGGTGCTGGCATCCTTGTGATTTTGTAAGCTCCACGGTGGCAAGTAAGTTCACTGGAGTGCAACAGTTAAAGTTTATCTGTTGGCTGGATGTACAAAATGTGAGCTTTAGTACCGGAAGGAAAAATGAGTTTTTCTAGCGTCTGGTTCTTTTTTTCCAGGCATGATGTCCAACAAGACGAACTATTTAAGCTTTACAATGCAGTCCTCCTCCCCATTTTCCTTATGCCTGAAGAAGGACGCTGGAGGACTGGTATTAAACTTAGGGAGGAACCACGTTGGTTCTAGGGGCCTTCATTGGAAGGTATGAGTTTAGTCTCCTACCAAAAAATACTAAATTCAATGTAGTTTTTCACCGTAATCGGTGCAAATAGCCCGAATCCGTTATAACAGACGTTGAAATTGCCGGGAATTGCAGTGCATTTTTTCGACATATCTTCATAATTTTCTAGGATACTACTCACTGACACGTAACTCATCGGAATATGGTTACTGAAACATGTTATCCTAAGGAGAAGGCAGGCCGTAACTTTCACTAAATCCTCTATGCATAAACCGCAACTAAAATGCACTTACTTCACTGAAATGTGAAATTTAATACTTCCGGCTACCTAGTCGTGACATCCTTAAAAGCTTCCGCATGAATACTTACGTAGCTTTATTCTTTCGCTTAAAAAGTCTGGTCTTCCTTTTTCCTGGTAGCCACGAATTGTGAGAAGAAGCGTTTCATTCAGAAACGCTGTCGTTTGCTGCAGTGTATGTGTCCCACTCATCGTATATCTCAGGATAACGCCTCACCATTCCACCGTCTTGCACGCAAAAATGTAGGCAGGCGGACGGTGATAAATACTTAAAGGCGGATGTTTAATTAGACTTCTTCGCCGGACATTAACTTTTAAGATTACGACACATTCACATTGAATCAACAGATGTCTGGTTGAATTTCGATCAAATCTGTTCCCAACAGAATTTTCTGTCGCCAGTTGGCATTTCTGCTTTAGTTGCTTTGTCTTACTTAAGTGTATCAATGTTAGTCAAGTCATAGTTTTTAATCAAGCGGTACTTTTTATTGGCTTCCGTGAGACCAAACGTCACTGGCACGCAGCACTCGACCTACAGCCAGGGAGCCATCTTTAAAAAATATCACCTCTTCGGCACATTTAAGAAGCATATCAGAAAGCAGATTTGACATGTAGTTTCACGGTTTGTTTGTTTTCTTGGGTCGCATTCGCGCGTGAACAGATTAAATGTGAGCAAGATAACTGTAAAATAGTAAGTACAGCCAACGGTTGAATCGACAACACTCTTCTGACTGGTAATCACCCTGGTTGTCCGTAAGTCCGGAATTCGTGCTTTGGTATTTCCCGCTCCAAATCACCACAATGGAATTTCCTGTAGATTTGGTCTTCTCCTAACTGGTGTACTGGTCTTATCTTGTTCGGAAGTTGTGGAAAACCACGCACTTTGATTTCCAGCCAAATTTGGTCTTAGCATGTATTCAGGTGGGCTAGGAAAAGTCTTTCATAACGGCCTATGCAAGGCTGGAGTTCAAATCGGATTCTCCAGTCAATAGTAGTCAGACTCTGGACGCCTGCGCACATTAAGGCTTCACAGAGGGTTTACGCAAGCCTAATGGGGTTCTGTGTGCAGGTCCATATCACCGACATGAACACAAGTGAACAAGATCATCGGACGAACACTCAGAGGCCTGTCACAAGCCATCAGTAAGCCTAGACATAACGGCAAGACAGTTAACGCCAGCGCCAGTACCTGTTTGTCATCAAGTTACCGGCGTCATCCATCAATTCAGCGTAAAACCGCATCTCTTTCAGTAGAGTACCGTGCTTGTGGCATCGAAGACCACCTACCACTCGATGCGTCATTTTAGAACACTAAAGCCTGGTGACTCACAGGGTGCACAACTCTGGGAGCTGACGATGTTGTCTTTAGGTATGCAATAATGTCTGTGAAGAGAAANCCTACATATAAACTTTGAAAACCTAAAGATGACATGCGAGTGAAATCCTCAGTCTTCTCCGAGTATTTTCCACTCCTGAGGGCTTCACGCCTACCAAATTTCAACCTATCTCTTTTCGCAACATGTTGAATTTACACCCCGGTGCTTTGCGGTCTTCATAAAGCATATCGTTTGTGTTCAATTTTGCAACAGGATCAATTAATTCGTGAACAAGTCTTGGTCTTCAGATGATTGCCTATCAAAAGCTCGTAATGATGGAAAGATAAACGTGAACATCAGAGCATCACGTGACACTTGTCAGCCGTGTTTGTAAAAAAATGAGTGTTGAGTGAATGAATGAGGAGGGGGTGTAGGAGATGCTTTTTGGTCACGGATTTGAGTTGCGTGTACCAAAGAATGAGTCTTGGTTCCCCCGGTGACCAATGGATTGCGGGCAACTGTTCAGCAAACCATAAAATCTGGATGAACTGACACAAATCGCGTGAAGTGACCTTGACAGCTGCCAAGCGAAACCTAAGAAAAACGAATACGACAGATGAACGTGTCAAAACCCTTCGAAAGGTCACCTGTCTTGTAGAGAGCCAGAAATTCTTATGCTCACTCACCATTTTGGACTTTCAAAACCTTATAGCGAAAATTTCATCCAAATAACCAGTGCCGATCTGTGCCATCCGCAAAATTTTCGATTCCACGGACTTGAGTTTTAGAGTACGCTTTCCCATAACCTCATCAGTTCTGAAGTAGAAAAATAAGTGAAGAATGAGACACCCTTGGTAGACTCCAAAACATTTGAAGAAAGCTCCTGGTTGGCGAATGCACACTCATTTGCAAACTAATTTGTTTTTTTGAGAGATTCACCTGGAACTCAGCTGAATCTCTCGTTTGTGATGTTTCCAGGCAACGAAGGAACAAAATTAGTTTGCAAACGAGTGTATATTCGCTAAGTTCGTGCAATTTGTTTCAACTAGAACATCAGCTTGACGGAAACTCGGGGACTGCGCCTACCTGATGAGCCCCAAAAGGGGCAAAACTGGTCGTGGGATGTCGACGGATTTTCAGCAACCTTACGAGTAGTGCATTACAAAGCTCCTGGTTGTTCACTGACAACGATTTAACAACAACAGCAACAACTTCTTTACTAAAAATACTGAGGGTGAATCCGTAATACATCTTATTAAAGACGTGACTGCTGGTCGATCAGAGTGTAATCATGCTCTTCATTTTGCACGCCGGCGACGAAAATTCACAAAACAAACCAGATGCCTTTGAACCGCAAATGACCTGCATTTTTGCCTTATAACTGGGGCGGAGGTATAGGAGTAAGCGGCTTAATTCCAAATTTAGCCCTTGCTAACACGACCACTGAAAGTTTCTCCCATTGGTTATGCGCGAACGGCTTCGGGGTGATCACGGCTTTTAGTGATCACAAAGACTTGGATACATTAGCGCCTTCCTATAGGAAAATTCAAGCACACGCACACATGCGTACAGCTAGGCAGTACAGATCGCAATCCAGGGCTTTGTTTATCCAACTTGTCGTTCGCGTGCGTGCTGTGTAGTAGTTATCGCTTGTGCGGTTTGTGTGAAGATGTGAGCTGAAATTATTGAAACTGTTGACGCTGATATCGTTTGATATATGACCCGGTTAGGTCGAGTAGCCCCAATTGTGGAGGGTAGGGTCACGTGAACTCGTGTGAATAATGTGTCAGTTCAGGTTACCTCAGCAACACATACGGATATAATTGGACGTTCGCACACAGCCTGTGGTGAGTTAATCCACAGCGTGAAAGCAACAGATTGGCCAAATATAGTAAGGATGCATTCTGGTATCGACGCCTGTTGACTGAGAAGCAACTGTAGCCGAATTCATGATACAATCGGCCTCGGTTTGTCTTCCAATTAAGGCATAGGAATACACTGAAAAGTGGAGATACTGGCCACTGGAAATTTATGTGAATGTAATTAGGGGGGTGACCTTTGCATGTGGTCAGTACTCAACAAAGACTCACAATACAGTGAGTGGTTGCTCGACACAAATAAACTACTTTCTGACGAAACCAAAACCAGAACGAATAGGGTAAGGACTGAAACAGTGGTCACGAGTTGCTGTTAGTGGACTAATTCAGGTTCGCTGGAAGCTGATTTTCGAGCGTCCTGCAGGATAGTTCCAGAACAGTTACCACCCGGTGGCTGAGGTTGCAAATCTGAACGACAAACTATTCTTATTCGAAGCACAGCATATTTACGACAAACGTTACTGAATGGCAAAAGAAAGAAAGTCGTAGCCTGCTGGGATAGTAGAAGACGGCTCAACAGACCAGTTATGAAATATCACTGGGAGCTTTTACAGTGAATCATTCTTTAGAGGACGCATGCTGCACTTTAATGCAGTGCCATATGTATGTGATGAACATTGGGACACCGCATTCAGTCTGTAGAACGCTCTACCGGTCAGCGTGCAGTCATATGCAAGGTCACATCACGTGGTTACGCGTTGACTTTCTAAGTGCGAGTTTACCACACTGTTGATCAGCCGCTCATAGCCGCACGGGTTGTCTTCAGTGAGTCCGAAAGTTGAACCTGTATCTCCCTGAAGGTATGTGAGATGCGCAATCCTGATGATTCCCAATAGGGAACAAATAGCCAAACAGTTCTTTCAGGCTTTTCGGCGCAGGTTGATTTTATTTGTAAGAGAAATTTCTCCTCATACTACCAACATTCTCTGAATTAGTTGTGCTAGTAGGGATGAACTAAAGCTTTAGTTGCACAGAACGTGCCCGAATCCAGTGTGAATTTGAAGGAAGATAAAGTGTTTTGAAAACACACATTGGGACTAAGGTCATCTTTCCGGTCTGGGGCAGCCCAACTTCTTCGGTGCTAGAAGAAATTCAAAATTTGGCGCCAAATACAGAGTGCGTTGTCTAGATGACTTCCAGTCTTCTGTAATTGTCTTCTGCTGAAACTCTACTTCGATGTCCATTAAAGCTTTTAGAGATGAACCTTAATAGAGAACACCATCATGTAACGTCTTCCAGTATATTGAACAGACAAGAGTGCAAACAAGATGAACACCAAATGTTTTTGATTTAATATTTTACATTGCGGAGGACCATATATGTTGCCTGGTGCAATTGAAACCTATGGCTATTCACAAGGAGAAAATACGCTAAAGGTTACCAGCACTCAATAACGCGCGTGATTGTTGTTTTCCGATCTGGTGGGGTTCAAACAAAGATCGGCCAAACTTGATTAACTGACTCCACTGGGTCAGAACTTTGACACAATGTAATACTCTGCAACCAACGGATTATAGAAACTAATCGAGAGAATAAGGTCCTTGTCGAGGAGACGCCACCCGACAGAGGCTGCTTCTTAGACAGGCTCCGATATTCCGCAACGATTGAAGAGCATAAACGGCTGTGGGGCCACTCCCGACTATGCTGATTGTAAAAGTATGTATAAATCTCTTTTCCAAGATTTGAAATCTGATTCAGAAACCATATGAAGAACTGGTGACATTTTTTCTCACTGGATACTCCAAAACTGGCGAACAAGGAAAGGGAAATCTATGAACAGATTCTGATTCCGTGACTGAAGATGACAAACTGAGACCATGGGTACTATAGTGGGCAGTGGGTGTAGGTTTCTGCCAAGTAAGACAACCTGGGGAGGGAAGAATTCCAGCGGTGTGGGGCGATTTTCACATCACCTCCAAAGCTGTAGAAGAAGTTCTTTTGTTCTTGAGTGCTAAAAACGTCACGAGCTTAGATGAGCTTCCTCGCCACTTCCCGAAGCATCTGGAAACATTACTCTCTGATGCTCTTTGAAGACGATGGTCAGTTACCGTTACAGTAGAAAACGGCAGCAGTGTAAGTTGTGTTTTGGGGGAGCTAGACAAGGTCTACTGAATTACAAATCAATAATTCTTACATCTGTAGTCTACAGTGGTAGAAAGGCTTATCGATGACGAAATTGTGCCTTATTTCGAAAGTAATAACCTTTGATTTATGTATGCGTACACGCTTTTCCAGACTTTATTGTAAACTTGGAACACGCCTATTACGGAAACCAATAATGCCACATTTTCTTTACGTGGTATCCCGAAATTGATTCACATTGCCAGATGGGTAGAAACTCGAGTAGATCTCGGAAACTCTGGCATACGAAGTCCATTTCATCATAAAGATGTCGGACTCAGACATGCTAACAAAACTGCTCTTATGTCACATACCACCGATCTTCACGAATATTTCCGACGAACTGACGTTCTCTATTCCCTATTATCAGTCTGAAAGACACGAAATGGGTGCGCCCACCTGAGTACGTGAGTAATTCTTAGTTTATTACGTTACATTCATGTAAGAATACCTGTGTTGCTATTTTGTAACATAATCATCGGACACCAAATCGTCTCCATTTATCCGTTGTGGGTTTCAGCCAATCGTATGGCTGGTAGGGTAAGTGAAACCATAAATGTAGCGCCTCTGTTGATAACTGATGAGCTTAACGTTTTAAATCCCACTGGAAATCAGGATGCTCCAATGTGGTTACCTTCTTATTCCCATTCTACTATTTGTAACTCAATCCGAAGGCAATGTGCGTAAGTGGAAATTTCTCATTTAATTGAACTTTTGAAGCGGAATTTCAGCACTTTGCGCGGTTAGTGTTAAATCAGGGAGAGTTTTGTGTCTTTCCCCAACATACAACATCACTTATTCATTGGCTAAGGTCCCCCAGTTGTAATTTACGAGGTGAAACATTGGCAGATATTCATCACATTGATTCCTCTCCGTTTTCACATAAACAATACGCCTGTTAGAGAGTTCAATAAGTTTGATTCTGAATCCGTTCGATCTTCCAGCACCACTGGGGTGAAATATACCCCCAGGCATTAATATAAAACTACCACTATTTGCCCAAGAGACTACTGCTTACAAGTCAGATGGGACGACTTTCAGCCTTGGATTACACGAACATGTTTCAAAGAACTTGTATAAAAGTACCAACTAACGGAAATGACCACTTTCGAATGCTGCCACAATGAAAGCCCTCCGATAATGAATTTCGACCATTTTAACTCGAATTCTCCACAGAACGTTTTATGGAACTATAAGTGAATGTATGATGATGATGTGCCACAAGGGCTTTGAGATTTAAACTTATTGTACAGTGTGGGTTCTCAAGCAGGCTTAAAAGACAAAGGCAAGTTGGCTAATTCGATAACTTTTACTCTGCGAAGTAAGGCGCAGCTGTTGGCGGAGTGGGGGTATAATCTACTGCTGAGACCTACTGAAATATTCCATTTTCCTTCGTGTCCCGCAAATAAGTGGCAATACTCATTGTGCGATTCTGTGCATTAGAGTCCCAGATGTTGATCACTGTTCATTCCTCGTCCGTTATTTAGAAGAAACTCCGTTTAGTCTACGAATATTCCTGTCTTCTGTAATAGAAGTGAGGGTACATTGACTATGCTTGTTTAATATCACGATTCTCCTCCCCTGCAACTTAAAAACAGATCCTGGAATGCTGCCTCGCCTAAGCCTCCAGCATGTAATATTAGATTGTTCTAAAGGTAATGGTAAAACAAGGACGTTGTAACGTTGATTACGCTTGATGCGATGAGCTTTTGCATCTAGTTCAATTCTTTTGGCTCTCAGTGGATATTTACGGTGTCTGGAGAACGCTACGAGAGAATTTTGATGAAAGGATAGGGTTCCTGTGCCCCGATGCGCTTG